CAGCAAACCAGAGACCTGGTTTGTGACTGGGTCAAGGCCTGTGTCCCAAGGCAAAGCAGAGGAAGAAGTGAATGCATTTTCCCAGACAAAACAAACTCTAAGGCCTTGCAGAAAGGAGGGGGTAGACACAGCCCTGGGCCATAGATAGGTGACTCCGGAGGTTTTATTGATGCCTGCCTCTAAGACCTCAGGGACAGACAGCTGTCCTCACAGACATCACTGATGGCCAACCTATCCCTCCTCCTCAGTTTTCCACCAGTCTCTTGGACCCGGGCAGACACTCAACAATGAAGAACCTATGGGATCCTCTCTCTGTGTCTAACACCAGGTGTCAGAGAAAACAAAGGCATGGTTCTTCTTTAGCCCCCAATCTGTGAAACTGGCCTTTGTAGATATGATTAGCTGCGTTGAGGTCACGGTGGTGTCTGGGTGGACTGAATCCAACTCCTGCTTTCCTACAAGTAGTTGATGTAGACACAGGTGCAAGAGAGCATCACTCAGAGACAACCACATGGAAAAGCTGGCCACGTGACAGGGATGCAACTGAGCAAGGCAGCTGTAAGCCAAGGATGACCCAGAATGGCTGCCAGGATCCTCCCCAGAGCTCTTGGAGGTACACCTGGCTTCTGACTTCTGACTTTGGGGCTGGAGACAAGGCCATTCTGTCCTGTTTTTCAGTGCAAGCAAGGAGTGGTACCATGCTAGGACTCAGTGATGGTCGAAGCTGGGGACTAGGGGGGAGGGCCTGAAAGCTTGGGGTGTGGCTTACTATCACACACTCCTGAAAGCTTGCTGCCGTGACCTTGATGGCAAGATCCAGATCCTTCAAGATCCTTTCTTGAAGGGAAGCAACTGCTGTACTGACTTGGGTTCAGCTGGAGAACTGAGCAGATATATTGCCACAGGCTCTGTGCCTGCATCTTCCCGTCTCTCCACTGCAAGCTGCCACTCGTCACCTTCCAGACAGGGGCTGCCTCCTGTGGAGCTGTGTTCAAGCAACACCAGATGAGAAAAACATACCTGACACACCTGTTGCCAGGACCAAGCGTGAGTGCCCCCGAGCTGCTCACAGACCAGCAGCAGTTCCTCATGGCTGGTGCCCTCAGTGACCACATCTAGCTGAAGGGAGTGGGGAAAGCACACACACACACACACACACACACAGACACACACACAGACACACACACAGACACACACACACACACACACACACACACACACACACACACACACACGAAGCGTTTCTAACTTCTGTTTCTGCATCCTGGGCTGCGGGAAACCAGTTAGCACCATCTGGGTGGTTTCAGACCATAGGGACGGAGTCTCTCAGGTGTAGGGGCGGCGATTCAGTTCCTCTTTGGATGATCTAGGGAGAGCTTGCTTCCAGCCTCGCCCAGCTGCTGGTACGCCTTGGTTTGCAGCCAGCACTCCGTGGTCGGCCTCTGCTGTCCTTCCCTGAGCTCCATCTCTGTGTCTCCTCTTAAAAGGAGCTCACTAAGATGTGACAGTGTCTGCATGGCCTATGTCTACATAAGGTCACACTCACAGGCACCAGCGCTCAGGAGACAGTTCCACTAAGGTAGACAAGAAGGCGGGGTTTGGGAGAGGGGGTTGGATTAATCCCCATGTGCTTGGAGACGGTTACCATGAGGACAAGCCTAGACTAGCGCAGGCTGCCAGCCAGGTCTAACCCAGCAAATACCCAGAACTTCCGAGGCCACCGCACCACACACTCTCATTATTTAAGACACTTTTAGTTATTGTTAGTGACTGACAAGCTTCTAATTTTTCATTGAAGAAAAAAAAAGAAAGGAAAAAAGAAAAAAAAAAAGAAAAAAGTCAAGAAGCTGTCTTGATTTGGGGTGGAAGTGATGGCTTCCCCAGAGGGGATGGGGGTCCACGGGGCTAGTTCCCCATGCTCAGTGAGCAGAGGCGTGCCTTGATCTTGTTCTATCTTTCTAAACGGGAAGCATTATTGCCCTCTAAGGCTGGCGAACAGCTTACACCCTCCATAATTTCTTTTAAAAGGTACTGTCACAGATTTGTTACTATTGAAATCTTATTTTCACAAGTGAAATCCCATTTGGACACATGTTGCTACAGAGCTACGTTGCAGCTGAGACAGATAACGGTGTTCATAGATTAAAGGAAAAAAAACCTCCCAGGACAATAAAGATAATGAACTAACAAATGGCCAGCTTTGAACAATCTCATTGAGTAACTCACTCTTTTAGTCAACCGACACCCAGGAAGCCTCACATGACTGGGTGTCTTTTTGTGGCTTAAGGGTCAAAATAATTTTCAAAAAATTATGTATATATATATGTATATAAATAATGTGTATAATGTACACATATATGTACAGTTTTTTCTTTTTTTATTGATTTTTATTGAGCTCTGCCCCTCCTTGCCTCTCTCCTCCCCCTTCAACCCTCCCCCAAGGTTCCCATGCTCCCAATTTACTCAGGAGATCTTGTCTTTTTCTACTTTCTACTTCCCATGTAGATTAGATCTATGTAAGTCTCTCTTAATGTTTTGTTTTGTTTTGTTTTGAAGAAATGGTTTCTCTATGTAGTCCTGGCTGTCCTGGAACTCACTCTGTAGACCAGGCTGGCCTTGAACTCACAGAGATCCACCTGCCTTTGCCTCTTGAGTGCTGGGATTAAAGGCGTGTAGCACCATCTTTAAGTTTTATTTTTAAGTATTTTAGTGGCGTGTTTTAATAAGAGACAGACTGAATTGGTGTGGCTCTCATCCTGGCAGGGTGAGACCTCTCGGCCCTCAGCTCCTTGGGCTGGGGCAAACTCTGGGTTCAGAGGGCTCCACTGCTCCTGGTAACTAAAAATCAGTTTCTTTCCAGTGGCCTCAGACTGTCTGGGCCGGAGTGACTGACATGAGCGGGTGTGGGGGAGAACTGTTCCCCCTTCTATGCTGAGGAAATAACATCGAAAATAATAAACTGGGGGGAATTTATGGATGCCCAGTGTGGATACTTGAGCAGAGACGATGGCTCTTGCCATGTCAACACGAGGCCCTGAGTTCAAATCTTCAGAATGTTGGGAACAAGCAAAAGGCGCTTGCCCTAAGTACTGCCATTTTGTTTCCAGACTCCATTTAAAAGCAGGGAGGGTCAGTTAAAGTTTAAGTTCCCCAGACCTCCCAGGCCTCCCTGGGTAACTGACATCACTGACATCCTGGTTGGCAGGCTGGGACATGAATGGTGGGAGAGCCGCCCCGCCACACTTGGGTGAACCAACCAGTGAGAACAAGGTAAATGTACCACAGAGAAATGTTCCCAGGAGCCCCTGATCCCTGAATCCTGACTGGTGAAACCTTAACTGTAACTTGGCACAGATGTTTGTATTGTCATGCTTACAAAAGCTCTGGTTTGAGGTTGCAGCTCAGCTCCTGAATCTGTTCTGTGGCCCTGATTGGTCAGTAGCAGCTTGATTACAATATATTTCTGTTTCCTGCACTGACTTGGCGTTTGAGTTGTGTTGGATCCGAGTGGACCCCCTACCACCACCAGTTGGCCTGACTTGTGCGGCTGAGAAGGGTCTGCTTCAAACAAGGTGGGACTGACTGCTGGGGTTCTCCTCATACCTGTCACACACAGATTCTAAAGAGCAAGAGGGTGGCAAGATGGTTCAGCAAATAAAGGCACGTGCTTGTCACGCCTGATGACCCGAGATCCACCCCTGGGACCCACACAGTGGAAGGGAAGAACTGACTCCTTCCTCTGGCCTCCGCATATGTGCCACGGTATCCGGGCCCACACACATACACATGTGCACAAGATAAATAAAATGTAATAAAAACATTTGAAAATACGTACACAGAGACGCCCCTGCCTCATGGGCTCTGCGTCAGTAACTAAAGCTGGGCCTGGGGCTCCGGAAACATCACAGAGAAGGAAGAGATGGCTTAAGAGTCAGAGGGTGGGGTTAGTGCTGTCGGATGCCCTTCCAGACATGGCATGGAGGGTGGGGTTAGTGCTGTCGGATGCCCTTCCAGACATGGCATGGAGGGTGGGGTTAGTGCTGTATGATGCCCTTCTAGACATGGCATGGTGGAGGTTGGACAGGCTGCAAAGCCCGTTTTATGTAAGGCTAAGGCTTTGCTCCAAAGCTTGGAAAAGCAGCTGGACACTTGAGATTTTTATTTACACAGGGAGCCTATGGCACCTGTGGGTTGAGCTTACAGGTGCCCACCTACTTGCAGACAATTCAGTGAAATGGGAGGCAGGTGAGCATCAGGGCTGATTTCCCTGCTCCAGGGCTGTCAGCAGTTCTGCCTGGCTGGTTTGCACTGTGTGATTAGACAGGACTCTGACCTAGTGTGAAACTTTCCTAAACCCAACAGAACCATAAACCTTTTCTGGGCAGCCTCCCTCCAGTGACAAGCATCCCTGCAGAAGTCTTCCCAGGCCACCCTTCTCAAGTACCCAGCCCCTCTTGCTTTTTCAGAGGCTTCAGTTGGTAATGTAACTTGGCACCCAGTTTTCCATCTGAAAACCGAGATAACAAACATACCGGGCACAAGGACATCCCAGCAACAGGGTTCCCGGCACCTCTATCATGACAGGTGTTTCTGGTCCACGGATTTGCCTTGAAGCTAATTTCTTAGGTTGCAAACTGCTTCCTGAACCATCCTGCGGTCTCTGGATGACAAGCAGACTCAGAGCCTCCATTTATAAGATCAAGAGTGTCCTGCATGCAGGCTGGAGCCGGTCTGTCCCAGCCTAATAACAGAGTGGCACCTTGAGGGGCTCAACCTGTAGTGCCAGTCGCAGGGCTGACGACAGGAACTCCTGCTGCTTGAGAGCGGGTCCAGCAACACGCTCTCAGGAGCCTTCGTCGCTCCACCCCATCCCACCCCAGAGCTCAGAAATATGACGAAGTTGTTCTTAGCCTGTCTGCAACACAAATAAGAAAACAAACAGAGTGCCCGACTTGGTCAGGGCTTCCTCTAGAAGGACCACACCATTTTTCAAACTTTCCAACTGTTCACGGTTTTTATTGTATGAATTCACTTTGTGGGGACAGTGACATGGATTGCCTTTCAGATCATCAAAAGTGGCCTGGAGGCTAAGCCTACAGACACTGGAATTCCAAATGTAAAGAGTTTATCTGTCTTCTTTAGTCAATAACTGAACTCATTGTGCAAGAATTTAGGCAAGAAATAGTTCAAGTAAAATAGAATTTTTTAAAAACCGGAGCCTCCACCAGCCACTGGGCGTTTCTCAGCCACGTGACCAGCAGTGGACTCACTCAGGTCTTATGGTCTCTTCCCTTTCAGTCAGTAGCTCGAAGGGAGGCCAGGGTCACTGGGTTCTGACAGCCTGCCAGATGAGCACGGCAGGCCCTACCAATGCTACTAGAATCTCATGCAAAACTGACAGACACTCTGGCACAAACCACTGTTAAACGTTCTTGGCCATTTGGAAAAGCATTTCTGACACTCTAGCGTCAGCTCAACAGTCACCTTGTGCTGAAGATGAACGAGCCCTAAACGTACACATTTCACATCACGGCTTCTGCCAAGGGGAGGAGTTACTAGTCACTTAACTGGAAAGTATCTGCCACTTCATCAAACAGTAACTACCACAAAAGGAACAATGGGAAAGGACTTCAAAACTCACTAAAAAGTTGGACAATTTTATGCAGAAACTGCCAAAGTTTTAGTGTTTAATAATTAAGACAACTGACCAAGATGTAAAGATACCAAGTTTGAGAAACTGGGGGTGTTGGGGGGAGGAGACACTCTATGGACTATGCAGGCTGTGATAAGAATGCACGCTTTATAAACCTGTCGACACATAATAGTTAGTTGCAGAAAGCCACTTGGTTTTCTCTTGGCTTGGGAAAAACGACGTTCTGGATTCACTGTGAGCATCAGCAGCCTGTGAAAGAAAAAAAGCAATCAACAGCTGCACTGAGGGCACAGCAGAGCCACCCCAGAACAGCCGCACTGAGGGGACAGCAGAGTCACCCCCAGAACAGAGGCATTGAGGGGACAGCAGAGCCACCCCTAGAACAGCCGAACTGAGGGGACAGCAGAGTCACCCCCAGAACAGCCGCACTGAGGGGACAGCAGAGTCACCCCCAGAACAGCCAACATTTTCCACTTAGTCATCTGTTGGATTCTCCATGCATACTATTCTAGAAAATTCACTGTTTATAAATCTTAGAAAGTGCCACTGTAAATAAAGTTGACTTGTGTGTGTGCTCCTGTGTGTGGGTATGGAGAGGTGAGTGCAGGCCCTTGTGGAGGCCAGAAGAGGGTGGTGGAGACCCTCCAACCCCCATCTAGTCTCCTGGACTTCAGAACAACCTATTTAACTCATCGAAAAGCTGGCTCCAGGCCATGCCCAAAAAATAACTTTTAATCCCAGAATTTAGGAGGCAGAGGCAGAAGCAGGTGGGTCTCTGTGATGTTTGAGGTCATCCTGGTCTATATAGTAAGTTCCAGGCCAGCCAGGGATGCAAAATGAGATTATGTCAAAAATAAAAAAAAATAAAAATTGAGGGCTATGAGTGTGCCCCCCCCGCCGCTAACACAGAACTTACTGCACTGAGTGGTTTGCGCCTCTGTCAGCTTCTATCTGAAATGACTGAGTAGAAATTTAATCCACTCGAGAGGGAAGGAGTCGAGTCCACAATAAAAGTCACAAAGTTTCTCGAATTTAAGATAGATGCCCATGCAAATGACCTGAATTCTCTGCTATTTCCAAAAGAAAACAATGAAATAATCTTCTAGGGGCCAGTGTAGGGTACCAAATACACATGCTCCCAAACGGCATCGCCTGGTAGTCGGTAGTTACCAGCTAACCAGCCGGAGATGTGTCCAGGTTCCAGGTGTCCAATGCAAGGCCCAGGAGATGAGTGAGGCCCACCACAAAACTGTAAACTTAACAATCAAAATACCAAGGGGCTAGAAATGGCTCGGCTGTTAAGAGCTCTTTTTGTTCTTGGAAAGACCTAGGTTTGATTCCTAGCACCCACATGGTGGCAGGCAGTCTGTAACTCCAGTTCCAAGAGATCTGATGCTTTCTGGTCTCCCACAGCACCAGGCCTGCATGAGGTGCATTTGCAAGCAAAACACTTATATATACATAAATCTGAAATAGAAATGAGTTTTGTCTTTTGTCATCAAATTCACCCTTCTTAGGTGTGAGCTTCGGAGTCGACAACATTGTGTTATGATGTATAAGGCTTGGGCATAGTTTTAAGTAGCGAAAGCTGGAAATATAAATTCTACCTAAGCAATTAGTGTGGCATGAAAAATTTCAATACATGGAGCTCACGGGTGGGATGCAGAGAGATGCCGGCTGGCGAAGGACACGGTGAAAACGATCAGCTACATCAAGATGGCTCTTGTGGCCGCTTTCCGTGTTTGCCATGAGCACGTGGGGGCCCTCCCTTACCTTCAACTCTTCTGCGCAGTAGGAATCTTGTTTTCGCCTTCCAGCTCTTCCACTCCAGCCTGGGTCATGAGGTCAGCGATATTTTTCTCCAGGTCGTCAATGCGACTGCTCATGTCATCGAGTGGCACAGTTAAGGAGCCCACACATCAACGCCCCACTTTGACTGCGGCCTCTTCCAGCATTCCCCCACCCCCACGGCTTAAGCAGCTGCCTTCTTCCCCAGTTTCTTCTGGTTACAGGCAGGGTACCCAGGTGAGTTCTCTTACTTTCCTAAGCCTCGGTTTCTTTGTCAATCCCAGAGGGCTCTATATCCCATTGGTAAGGGTAAGAAGAGGACTGGAGACTGAAGGGCTCAAATGTGCACCGCCAGCCAATAGTTACCTTACAGCCCAACCCCTTCACTGGCGTTCTGAAGGGCCCCCAACAGGGAACTTGGCTAGCTCCGCCATGACTGTCTTGGCACCACCCTTTTCGGCAACACAGTATAGCCCAGATCAGTAAAGCAATTTCTAAGTGTGGCTGGAGAGATGGCTCAGGATTAGGAGCATCTGAGGCTCCCGCAGAGGACCTGAACGGGGTTCCCGGTACCCATATTGGGCAGCTCACAACCGCCTGTAACTCCAGCTCCAGGGGAGCCAATGTCTTTGGTCTTTGAGTAACTCACGTGCACCCATTGTACACATAATTAAAAATAATAAAAAACAAATTCTTGTTTAAAAAAAAAGTAATTTCTAAATGACTACCTCAAGTCGGTTTGCAAACCACCTGCTCACCCCCACTATTAAGAAGCTGCCTCCGAGCCAAAAGGATATTCCGTCCAATGATCTGGTCGGACATGATCTGAAACTTGTCTTGCATCTGTTGCAGGAGCGTCTCCACCTACGAGAAACCAGAAAAAGTCCGCCGATACCAGTTTAGCCCCAGACCCCTTTCCTGGGAGGAAGGGGAGGCGAGGACGCAGGCGGGGACGCTCGGCAGGTGTGCCAGGCCTTTAGTGAGGCCCCCGCCAGGTCGGGTTTGGTATTCCGGTGGTTCAGGCCAGGAGGGTCCGAGCCGGGGCCGCGAGGGGGCGAGCCCTGCAGGTGCGCCGGCCGAGGCCGCTGGCCACACCCCACGCCAGGGCCAGGAGCGGCCGCGGAGTGTCGGGGCCCACGTAACCCTGCCGCTTACCACCAAGGTGATGTCCTGCATGGTCTTGGGGTCCGTCTCGGCCATCTCCCCGGTGCCCAGCTTGGCGGCGATGTCTCGGAACCGTCACCTACACTTCAGTTTCTTGGCGCAGACGCCCTCAAGCCGCCAGTTCTCGCGACAACACAGTCACGGGACCGCGAGGCATCGTGGGCGCTGTAGTTTCCGTCATTCATCGGACCGGTCTGGGAGACTTCAGAGCGTCCATTCTGCGGATAGGCTCCGCCCCCTACCCTTAGCTCCGCCTCCACCCGCCCCAGCTCCACCCTGCACGCAGCACGGAGCGGAAGAGGCGAGAAAACCGGATGTGGGCAAAGGTTACGGGAATTAGCGTTGGTCTCTTCTGTGGTTGTAGTCAGACAGACAGGCCTTGCAAGACAAATCAGTTTGTGAAGGCGCTTGCATCCAAATCTGACACTGGAGTTCGATCCTCTATGTTTGAAGAAGAGACCCAACTCCCACAGATTGACCTCTGGCCTGCACACATGTGCTGTGACATGCACATGCACATACACGTATACATACATATGTCACACAAAATAAATATAATAATAATGTAAAAAACCCTAAGAGTTGGTGAGAGTGCCCTGACTGGCTGTGTGCTCTTCACGAAGACATGTTCTAGAAGATGTGGCCCAAGAAGTTTGCCGAGGTCCGTAATCCTACTTAATATGGGAGGATGGACCAGGAGGGATTCTGAGCTCAAAGCATGCCTAAGAAAACTTAGACTCTGTCTCAGAAACAAAACTAAAATGTAACAAGCAAAAAGAGGAGAGGATAAAATGTACCCAGTGGCAAAACACTTGCCCAGCACAAAGAAGCCAGCACTAGAAACAAAAGGAAACAAAAGCTCAGGCTATCGCCCCACCTGGAGGAGCGTGCCTCACAGTAGACCTGGTTGCCAGGGTTTTAGTGTGATTAAGTAAGTGGAATCTAACCTGGCTTCTTTCAACGCTATGGCTGCCTGATGGGAAGTGGGGCAGGTCTCCATTTGGGTAAAAGGGAGCAGTAACTGGCAAGACTGGACTGGGCTGCTTATGTCACAGGTGCGGATCTGATGGGGTTTGGGGCACTGGTTCAAATAATCCTTTCCGGGATTCACAGATGTGCTGAGATGGCTTTCAGGTGAAGTCATTGTTAGTGCCACGAGCCACTCAGTGGAGGAAGCTGGGATGGGGGAGATCCACGAACAGAACAAAGGGACCAGGGTAGGGGTGGGCCTGAGTTTAGAGGTGGTGTTGGGGGTGTCTCCGAGTCCAGTGAATTAGTGAAAGTACTGGCTGGGATATAAGGTCCTATTGTCCCACCCTTACTGTTATAGGGAGCTTAGTCGCTTAGAGAAGGTAACTAGACAGGGCAGGAAGTATGGTTGATCCCCTCTGCAGAGCCATCACCAGAGTTCTACATGTTCCTGGGTACAGTGAATTGGACAGACACATGGATGGTCATGGGCCAGGAGACAATTTACTAAAAGAGAGAAACAGGGCTCCAAAGTTCCCAGACCCAGACCCAGACCCAGGCTGGAACCAAGTCTGTGACCTTCTATAGGTTGTGTACTTACTGTGTGTTTTTCTACAGTCTATTCCCTAAAGGAAGCAGTATCTAGGTAAGCTTCTAGAATTCTGCTTTCTGTTGAGTTAGGACCCCAACTTCCAGCCACATGGCCCTGGGTTTGGGTCTCAACAAAGGGCTAAGAAATCCCTTGACTATAGGTCTATATGATCCAGCAACTCGTATGCCTGATCTCAGAGGACTGTGTTCTGGAGTGGGGGCGGGGTCATTCCAGTTTGAGTTTAGCTAGAGGAAGCCTGTAAGTCCCCTTAGCGTTGGTAACTAAGATGGATCAGGCTTGACGAGGGAGGGGTGCGGCTCAATTGTCTTCCCCAGCTGTCATCTGACTACATCCTTACCAGTCCCCTCTGCTTTACTCAGTTCGCACAGAGAACTTCCTTCCCATGTAAAGCATGCAAAACTACTGTGTGTGTATACATGCATGTGTGTTTGTGTACATGTGGATGTGTGTGGTGTGTGCATGCTTGCACGTGTGCGAGCGAGTGTGAAGGCTAGCGTGTGTGTTGGGAGTTACCCTTGCCTTTTTTATGTTTTGGTTTTTCAAGACAGGGTTTCTCTGTGTAACCCTGGCCATCCTGGAACTCACTCTGTAGACCAGGCTGACTTCGAACTCACAGACTCTTAACTATTGCATTTGAAATTACTCTATTTCAAAATGGTGTCACATTCTGAGCTGGTGAGTGCTAGGATTTAAATGAACCTTACCTGGGGATATAAAACGCCCCTCAATAACTAGTAAGGAACTGTCACTTCAGTTTGTATTGTGCTTTTATATAGAGTTCTCACAAACCTCTGGCATCAGTTAGAAAGTGGCCAAGGGACTGCATCCTCTGGCTACTAACTTCAGACCCAGCTGTTTAGTGTAGAAGTCTGCACTGGGGTTTCTAGTGAGGTCTAGCCTACGACCATGAGCAAGCCCAAATCATCTATGAACTAGTGCTCAGACTGGAAGATGACAGCTTCTCATTTCTTTTTAAGAGGGTTATCTTGTTTTAACTATGTGTGTGCACATGTGTGCTCACGCGCATGCTCGCGCTCTCATGAACACAGGTGCTCTCAGAATCCAGAAGAGGGTGTTGGATCCCCTGCAGCTGGAGTTACAGGCTGTTGCGAGCAGTCCAATATGGGCGCTGGGAAGCAGACTCAAAGCCTCTCCAGCCCCTGCTTCCTCCTTTATTCCTGTCCTCCTTTTCCTGGTAGGAGATTTGTGGTTGTTGGTTTTTGATTTTTTTTTCTTTTTTGCTGATTGAGTTTTTCTTCATCTAAACAGCAGAAGTGACACTCTAAGTGATGAGTTCATTTTCTTTCTTACCCTTACAGAGATGCTCTTTCTGGTGAGCTAAACAGCTGCTTTCCACAAAAACCTCTCTACACTCAGGGCTGATACACTCTTTGCAGGAGCTGACCTGGAGCCCGGATGGATTCTGTTTTGTTAATGAAGCTGCTGCGTATATATGCAAGGTGCCAGGAACTGACCTTGCCCTGAAATTTAAATCAATCTCATTTTAACCTTTCTGTTCATGCCGAAGTTGGCGTCCCTCCTTTTAACATTTTAAAGCGTTTCCTAGGTTAATTTTAAGTTGTAATTTCCTTCCCCATGTTCAGAACAACTTGGTTTTACAAGAGCTTGCTATGACTCTTGTTGGGGAAAATTATTGTAAGGTGTGTGACTTTTGTTTACGCTGCATTTGTTTAACTCCGTGAAGCTGTGATTCTTTGCCTGCCTAAAACTCCTGATGGTCGAATAAAGTGCTACATGGCCAATAGCGAGAAAGGAGCAAGGATAGGCGGGGTTGGCGGGCAGAGAGGATAAATAGGAGAAAGGAGAAAGGGGGAGTAAGCTAGAACAAGGAGAGGAGTGCATTAGGGCCAGCCAGCCAGCCAGCCAGCCAGCCAGCCAGCCAGCCAGCCAGCCAGCCATGAAAGAAAAGTAAGACATACTGAAGAAGATAAAAGCCCAGAGGGAAAAGGTAGACAGGTTAATTTATGTTAAGAAAAGCTGGGAAGAAACAAGCCAAGCCAAGGCCGGGCAATTATAAAGAATAAACTTCCGTGTGTGATTTATTTGGGAGTTGGGTAGTGGGCCCCCCAAAATCCAAAAGAGTAAAACATCATCCTACAGACACTTTAATGGTGGTTTTTGGTTCATACTGAGCCATTCTTGACACTCCTGCCTTGGATTGAAACAAAAGACAAAAGAGGACCCTACTCTGCAAAACGGCAAAATGGTCTTTTTTTTTTTTTTTGCCTTCAGTAATGGGGATTTAACCTAGAGCCCTGAATATGACAGGTAAGTGCTGTATGACTCACTGAGTTATATTCTCAGTCCCTTTTTAAAAAAATTCTGTGTTTGTATGCATGTCTATCTGTAGCACCTTGTACATGCCTGGGGAGTCCAGCAGATGGTGGCAGACCCTCAACTGTATGTGTTTATCTTCCTGTAGGTGCCCAAGGAGGCCGGAGGTGCTGGATCTCCGGAGAGCTGAAGTTACAGGTGGTTGTGAGGCATCTGATTGGAGTGTTGGGAACTGAATTCAGGTCTTCTGCAAGAGCACTATGCTTTCTTAACTGCTGAGCTTTCTTACGAGCCCTCTGATGAATCTCCGAGGGGGTTCCAGAGAAGTTTAATAAGGAGGAAGACCCACTCTGAACTTGGGTGGCCTCATCCCATGAACTGGGGTGCTGGACTGAACACTAGTGCTCACCTCTCTCTGCTTCCTGACTGTGGAGTCATGTGACTGCCTGCGTCATGTTCCTGCTGCCATGCATCCCCCAACATGTTGGACTGTACCGTCAAACTGTGAGTTCAATGAAACCCTCTCTCCAAGTTTCTTTTGTTGGGTAGTTTGTCAGAGTAACTGATACACGGAATATGAAGGCTCATCTTCCCAGTACCCAGAGTGGCTCCTGCTCTTTCATTGGTCATCCTAAGCCTTCCCAGGCTTCCCCAACCTGCTATTTCATCCCTCTTACTCCCAGAGGATGAGCTTATGCTCTAAGGAGAGAATCACCTATGGAAGATGAAGGATCCCAATTGCACCTCTACCCGTATCCTCTTGGCCATCACCAGAATGTGGGGCTGTGCAGAGTTTGGGTAGAGACTTTCACCCTGTGTCTGCCATTTATTCCAGAAACTTGCTTCTTCTGTCCCTCCTTTCCACTGACCCTTCATCTCAGCAGACAAATAGAAAATCCAAGCTGTGTGTGATGTTGAGCTTCTCTTAGCTCAGCATGGATGGGGAGGCTGCTACAGGAGGATCTCAAATTAAAGTCAGCCTGGGTGGTAGTGTAATTCTGTTGCCAGCCAGCCAGCCAGCCAGCCAGCCAGCCAATGAACCAACCAAACAACCAACCAGTTAAACACTCGACAATCCAACCAACCAACCAAACATCCACCCACCAAACCAACTAATCAGCCAAACAGACAACCAACCAGCCATCCAATCATCTAACCACCCAACCAAACAGCCAGCCAGCCAGCCAGCAAACCAGCCAGCAAACCAACCAATCAGCTGAACCAAGAGAAAACTGAGAACAAAAACACAATAGCAAACTC